TATGCATCTAATTTTTGCTATCACAAACACCTTTATCTCCTCCCATCCCATCTCCAAACTTAATCTACCTAAACACTTGATTCCAGTCCCTCTACCAATCTTGTTTCTTTCAACGCAGTCATACCAGGGCAGCCTAAATATTTCTAAATCTGTTCATGTCACTCTCCTACTTTAAATTTAAGCTCAAAGGTTCGACACTGTCCTCAGGCTAGAATCCAGGTTCTCAAACCCAGCTTACAAGGATCTGTATGAGGGGAGTCACAGTTATCTCTGGCTTCAGCCCAAACTCCCCTCTGCACTCTATACTTTAGCCCCTGCTTTTTTTTTTTTTTTTTAACTTTCCATTTCTCTCTCACCTCCTCGCCTTCAAATACTCCATTCCTGCCAGAAGTACTCTTCCCCAAGCCAACCCTTTAATTATCTAACCTAAACTTCTGACCTCAGCTTAATCGTCCCCTTCTCCCTGATACCTATATTAGTTTAGCGTCCCTAACCACAAACTGGTACATCTATAACTGCATTTTGCACTCTATTCTAGAATAGTTGCTCTTCAGTTGTGTGAATTTCCCACTGGCTATCTGCTCGATGAACACGGGGAGGCTGAGGAGAAGGTAGCCACAGATGAAGTCCAACAGCTTAGAACAAGTGGAGAAATAGGAACAGGAAAATAAAGGGAGAGAGATCATGAAATAACTTCCTCTGCCCTCCATAACCTGTACTCCAGGACAGAAGAATTGCTCTAAAACAGAGGATGGGCCCTGGCCAGGGTGGCTCAGTTGGTTGGGTATTGTTCTGCGCACCAAAAAGATTTTGCTGGTTTGATTCCCAGTCAGGGCACATGACCAATCAATGTTTAGGTCTCACATCGAAGTTTCTCTCTGTTCTTCTTCTTTCCTTGCTGTCTAAAAAACAGTAAAAATATACTTTTAAATAAATAGATAAAAAGAGGACTGCACCGTTCCCCTTTTACAAACTTCTGGCGTTTCCTGCAACTCACAGGACAAACGTTTTAGCATGGGATGCATGGCTAATTAGAAAGACCAGAGGAAAGAAATGACCAACACCATGGCCTAAACCAAAAGAACCCGTATGGTGATTACTAGAGGGAAGGGGGGTAGAAGAACCCAAAGGGAGGATAAATGGTGATGGAAGGAGACTTGACTTGGCATGGTAAACACAGAATACAATATACAGATGATGTATTGTAAAGTTGTACTCCTGAAACCTGTATAATTTTTTTAACCAATGTCAGTCACTAAAGGGCTGTGGTAAGAAAGCTGCAGGGCCACCAGCCACCTTCTGCACTAGCCAAGAGAAACCCAGCCAACAGGTCAGGGAGGCTTTGAGCAAGGACCTAATTAAGTCACACTCTCCCACAACAAATATACTCCAAAACCCTGACCACCCATCACCAACTCCACCAGTCCCAGCAGGGCACAAACCCCCTACAGGCCCAAATAACAAAGTATTTGGACAAGAATCTTTCAAAGGGCCAATGGGAATTCAGACCCCAGTGACCTAATCAGATTCCACCTTTACTCAAAGAATACAGCAGCAGCCTATCAGCCGTCTAGGACTTTGGTGTATCAAAGGAACAGTGAAATCCCTACTTCCAGGAAAATTGTACAATCTTCTCCATGATTTTACCCCACTGATTATAGGCACATAAACTTCTTTCTTAATCACAGACAGCTTTGAGAAAGTTGTCTGAGCCAAGACCAGTTTTCCTCTGCCAGGAATTTTAGGGACCTCCAGCACCAGAACACCAGACTGAGCAGGAGAGCCCCAAGACTTTCCCCAGTCTGGCCTATCTATCACCCCAGGCCTTAAGTGGTAGCCAGATGGAAATACTCCTATTTTCTGTCACTCCATGCTGCTCCCTCTGACTAGAATTCCTTACTCTAGATAGATTCTATCTCAAGGACCCACTCCCACCACCACCTCCCCTGGAAATCCTTAACAGCCCTCACACCCCTCCCCCCCAGCCCCTCGTGCTTTCCAAGGACTTGCTACAGCTTTTTCATAGTGCTCATTTCCTTGTAGTGTGAGGGACGGAGCTGTGTCTTCATCATCTAGCTTCCATGACTCAATGTCTAGCCTATCTGAGGTTCTCTATTCACGTCTGCTGAATGAATCTGCAAGTCAGCTCATCTATGCCTTTAAAACTATAGCCGGAAATGACTATGTCGTGTTGGAAGTTATACTGGAAACTGTTTTCCTACTATATGGAATTCCATTCTCAACCCAGCCAGTTTCCTTGGATGTACTATAGAGTTGTATACCTTAAACTTGCATAGTTTTATTAATCAACGTCACTAACTGATGTCTACTAAACAGGCTGATGTAGACAGGATTAATACAAACTTTCTTAACAGAAGAGATCCAAAACTTTTATTTAAATTAATAAAATGTGCTCTCTTATACAACATATATTTTAGTCATAAGAAAATTTTGCCTCAAGATGTAATTCCGGCTGACATGTGAATTATTTCAATAAGATTCTAGGGGCCCATAATGTAAATGAGTTATGAGAACCTAATTAGTTTTGGGTATGTCTCATTAATAAGAAATCTAGGATGAAATAGAAAATATGCACAAAGCCCTTTGCAGCATACCAAAGTACTACCATTGTCATTTTGAAAATCAAATTATGCAATTGATTGTTGCATTGTAAGCTGAACTAGCCACATTTTTCATGGAACATTATTTTTACTTGAAAGAACTGACAAATGATAGTTATTTAGTATTTGACTTGCATTTTCCCAAAAATAAACAAAGTGAGCCTGACATGTCAGGAAAAACTGACAGTATTTGTTGCCAATGATCAAATTCACGCTTTCAAGCAAAAATGTGATTTTTGGAAAACTGTTTCCCAATACTTAGAAGATGAAAAAAGGCTTTTTTCCTACTAAATTATACTGGGTTTGGGAAATAGATTCTGTTTAACAAACTGATAGAATTTTGTAAGTTTTGCTTTTCACTCTTGCTAGCTTTAATCAATTTTTAATGTTATAAATTGTAAGACCCATCAAAACAGTAGCTCAAAGTGTGTGAACTTAAGAAAACTGCACAATTTTTAATGACATATCAGTGATTGTTCTATGGCAAACAGTAAGCCTAAATAAGAAAAATGTATTAGTATTTCACATCAATTAAATTTTAAGAATCCATAGATAACAATTAATACACTAACAAAAAATGGGTGACTATCAAGTAAGAGCTGAAATTCTGATTTCCTTTGGTTAGCTTTTTTAGTAACATAATTCCAACATGTTACTCAAAATACCAAGAAAATAAGAGTATGGTTATCTAAGTGGAAAAAAAACTTTTTCTCCTAAATCTTTCAGTTAAATGTCTAATAAAATAACATCCCCCAAAGATGGTCAATCCTTAAAGAGCTACATGAGAAAATTTAACAAGCTGTAGAATGAGGAGTTAATTTATAAGACTTCCAAAATGGCAGAAGATTTTAAGAAAAGCCTGCTGAATTATTTTGGTAACTACTTCAAGGTGTGTTTTAATTAGCCTAAAGAAAAAAAAATCTGCACTAAAAGAAAATAATATGTTAAAACATCATATTTCTTCAAACTTAACCCTTAAACTTCTATTTTGGGGATATATCAAGGTTTCAACACTTTATATCTTCTCAAGCATCATCTGAGCTTATATATCTTAATTGAATCTAAAATTTAATCAAGAAAAAGTCAAGTTGTACACCTGAAACTAATATATCATAGTTTTACTATACTTCAGTAAAAAATAATGATATAAAGACACTAATTCAGTGCATACTTTTTACTTTGAAAAGTATTGAAATAAGTTAAAATGCCAACCCCCTTGCTCAAGACTCAATAAAGTATTTCATTTTTAAAAGGAAAAGTCTTGTAGTAATTTTAGTAAATTAAATGATCTCAATGAGGTTTGCTTCTTCCCCCTCGACCCCACCCCCAGCCCACAATTCATTACAATAATCTATAACGACACAACACAATGCCCTAATAATAATTCCATCTCAAAATTCTGCATGTGTGTTCACTCTGTAAGAGGCCACACATTTTTAGCTAAGTCAAGGGAGAAATGACACTGCCTTACAATACTGATATCTAACAAATGATAGGAGATGCACACTGGTACTGAGTAATGGAACATTAAACATATAATATCCAGGAAAAAACTCAGCAGTTTTGGAAATACAATGTGTTTTAATAGCTATTCCTTAGAATGCTACACTGGCACTTTTTTCAACCAAAGGGGGCTGGGGAATTAGGACATTTAATAAAGAAGCCAATTCAAGCAAATTATACAAAAGTGTATTTTAGACCAAAGGCCGAAAAAAAAAAAAAAAAGGTTAAAATGTTAAACTACAAACTATCTTACATAATTGTTATTTTAATTATTTTATCTCAGAAGTCATCCTAACAGGTAGGAGAGGTGATCCATCCCTGAAAAGCAAGCCCAAGCAAAATAAATAATGCAGCATCGCTTTTACAACTCATCGCCTAAAAATGTCTAAAGTATGGCACAAATGTTCACTGACCCCATTTTTACAAAGTGACCTAGAACACTAGAATACATACATTCTTGAACTCAACCACATTTCCTCCCCTTGGTTTTTCCATCATTTAACAACCAGATGTTTTATCTGATAGTGTCTGAATAAAACTGTGATTAAGCCCTGAGTTTAGGCTTAAAGGTTTGATAGTAAACGGATAAAACTGTCATGAATGCTCAGAAAGCGACCAGGGCATCCGGGGCCATCACGCCTAATTTTGCTATGTCCATTTAAAGCAGTCTTTAAGTTATTTAAGCGTGCATTAACAAAACTCACATACCAAAGCCATGCCCCGAAGCAGTTTATTTGACATGTCTGAAATCACATGTCAAATAAAACGCTTTCTGCCGGGCCTCTGTTTATACAGCTTACAAATCCCATAAGTAACATCCTGCATGCATTTCCTCCAGTGTGACCGTGGGAAGTGAGGGTGTGTCTCGGTGCTTACCGATGCCCGGAGCCACATAGATGAAGTAGAGACAAGATGAGGACAGGGAGAAGAAGAAGATGAAGGCGAGGAGGGAGCGATTGGAGACCCGCATCATCCGCCTGAGCACAGACATTTTCCTCTTCCCGGCCAGCAGCTCGGGCTGCGCTCTCCGGCCGGACTTGTGGGCACCGTCCAGGCCCTAAACTTCCATGAATGTGCTAAGAACTCCGAGGCCGCAGCGGGGTCCGCGCGGGAGGCTCTGGAGGAGAGGGCCCAAGCGGGAAGGAGGAAAGGCAGAGAGCGGACGGAATGAATGGGAGGCCGGGGGAGGGGAAGCGCGGGAGGAGGACGGGGAAGGGGTGGAGGGGAGAGAGGGGACGCAGGGACCTGCGGAGGCCAAGGACGCACGTTTTATCCGCCCGGCAGAGGCGGCGGGAGGCGCCCAGGTGGAGAGAGGCGCGGGCTGCGCGCCGCGGCACCCCTGCGGAGAGGGGCAGCAAACTGCAGCACAGCCGGGCTCCCGGGCGGCTCCGGCTGCCGCGTCCCGGAGTCCAGGACGCCAAGCCCCCGCACTCCGCAGGCCTGGGTCGCCGCAGCCGCCGCCTTCTCTGGGCCGCGGCGTCTGGTGTCTGCGCGGGGCTAGCGTGGGCGCCGGGGCCGGAGCCGGAGCGCGCGGCACGCGGGGACCTGCGGGGGCCCTGGGGGCCCTGGGGGCCGAGGAGCTGGGCGCTCGCCGGCGTGCAGCCTCCTCTTCATGCCGCACCGGGCCCCGGCGCTCCGCGGCGGCCGTGGAAACCGAGCGCAGGCGAATGCGGCGTCCCGGCCAACGACGAGCGCGCTCCGGCTCCGGCTCCGGCTCCGGCTCCTGCCACTGCCACTGCCACTGCCACTGCCAACTGCCGGCCCGGCCGCAAAGGCGGCAACCGCAGCAGCATTACCGCCGCCCGCGCGGGTGAGGCTCCCCCGCCGGCACCGCCCCCGCACGGCCCGCGGACACCGGGCGAAGAGCGGCCCGGCGATTCGCTCTGCGGGCAGAGCCGAGGTGTCCGAAGAGGGCGAGGCCGGGCGCAGAGGGTCGCAGAGGTGGCGGCTCTGACGGGGCGGGGAAGCCGAGAAGGAAAAGCTGGACAGGCCGGCGCGCCCGGAGACCCCTGGGGGCTCCGCGCGTTCGCTGGAAACTGCAGGCGGCGCTGCGCCCGCACCCAAAGAACTGGGGGCCCCCACCCACCCCCGACCCTCCCCGCTCCGGAAACACCGCGCCTCCTGATTGGCCAGCACCGCGGGAAAACCAGCCCCTTCACCCAGTGCCTGGACCTGGGCCCCCACCTCCTCTTGGCGTCACCGTCGCCCCCGCTTTCCTGGGGACCCCAGCACTCCCCGCCCTGCTTAGGGCTGAGGGACGGGTCTTGAGCTTCTGATACGTTCCACCCAGGGGTCAGTAATAATGCATGATGTACCTGAAGGGAAAGGGGTATCTCGAGCAGAGGTGACTTCAGTGGGGTCATTTCCTCCCAAAATACACGCTTGGCGAACGAGGTGTTTTTCCCATCCTGGGTTAATGAAATCTCCCATCCTGCACTTATGGAAACGTACTGTCAGGATGTGATGTGGATCTGTGTATGTCCCTGATGACAGGACTTGCCTTCCCACCTGAAGGTGAGCACTGGGTAGTCCTACTGTAACTACTGTATATCCATCCATTCAGGTGGGCAGAAAGGACTTCTCTGCAGCCTATGGGCCTTTGAACACAGCAGCACCAATCAGCTTCAATGGGCAAATTGTTTTCATTCACCTCCTAGGCCATGACCTACCCTTGCTCAAAAGCTGCTTCTCTTGCTAACTACATTAGGCCGAATCCTTAGCTATATCACGTTTTTCCAAGGTGTGTGTGCAGGTGATTCTTTTTCAAGTAATAATGAAGATGCCCCTACTGCCATTATTTGCTCGGTATTTCCAGATGCAGTGGTATTGAAGCAAATTTGGTTTGCTTCAAACCAAATGAAAGAGCAAATTTAGTATCTTCGTAGTAGGATATCCATGTCTTAGATGGTCTCTGAGATAGTGCTATGCTATATGCAGCCTGAAACACCTGAGATTATTATTCCACTAAGGCCTTTTTTAAACGGAATCTTCTGGCTAGCTATTACCCTCTGCAAGCCTCTTTTCTCAGCCCTCAAATGGTGGCTGTGATACCACCTTGCAAGGCTGTGGCATTAAATAGGATAACTGTAAAATGCTGAAGTCTGGCATATAAGAGGTTCCCTTCTACCCCATTAGACAGTTGATTGGATGAAATCACCAATTTTAAATTCATTTTTTTATATTTTGCTTTTTAGAGTACTTACAAGTTACTCAACTACTCAAATGATCAATTTGATAATTAATGTGAAAGGAGGATATGACATTACGGTATTTTGTAACATTTGGAGATACGGGGAATCTAAAATACAAAGTAGAGCAACATACAGTATTAAATAAAAAGTAAAACTCACATGTAAAAAAAAAAAAAATACCTGTGCAAGTGAAAGAAATCCATGAATGGTGAGCAAGCAAGATTTTAGTTTTGCCCTCTCCAACCCTGATGACTTTTCATCACTTTATTTCCACCAGTTCATCTGGTTGTTTACAAAGCCAATATAACCATGCTGGCCTAGTGATGGATAATTCTTTTCAGGCAAGGTCGGCTTTTTAAAAGAAACGTTTATGATAAAACTAAAAGGGAAGTATTAACATCTTAGAAATTAATGATTTATCTTATTTTTAAAAATCTGAAGTCTGTATATTGATGTGCCTGGCTGGCATAGGTATTGCTCTCAAGTTCACCACAGTATTTGAGAGTGATTGGTTCTCCCTGGCGTAAAGCCTATACCAGAGAACCAGCTCAGTCAGTGCACAGGTTAGCATTGTTTATCACCAGCCACATAGAAAGGCAGCCAAGCCTCTGGAGCCAGGCAGCCTGGGATTGACTCTTAGTCACTCTCTGGTCAAATGACTGCAAAGGTTACTGAAGTTCCCTGTGCTTCTATTTCCTCATCAGCTAAAGAAGTTAATAGTGGTACCTATTAGAGTTGTTGTGGGGATTAAATTAATGAGTTAATGGCTCTAAAGAGTTTATAAGAGCCTGGTTCCTTGTAAACACTATTTCAATACTTGCTGAGTTTATTTTTTTTAATCTCTTGTTTAGATCACTCTCTGCCAACAGTAACAAATGATGCTGGTCTCTTCCTGTTTAAAAAACAAATTTTCTACTGCAACACCCATGAAATCTCTGTCTCTAATAGTCTGAAGGATGCTTCGGGGTCTCAGCTAATTTGTAAAGCAAGAGAGATGAAATAATCAGAGCCCAATAAGTGCTAACCAAACCTTTTCAAGATTATCAACTGATACTTTCTCAGGAGCCAGGTAAGGCCGACAACATTGACATTGCAGAAATCTACTAAGTTTAATTTTATATCAAAAAGACATTAAATTTATCATAGGAAGGCATAATTTTTCTTACTTAGTAGTATAACATAACTAATAGTAAGTCACAAGAAAATTTCACTTAACTGCTTTGTTCTACATTATTACCACCAGGTATTCCTTTTATTATTTTCTGCCCATTAGCAATCGATCCCATGCTCTTAAGTATTTGGATATAAAATTAGTTAAATTATAACTAATGGTTTTCTATTTTTATAAATCAGAAATATATTACTGAGGTTTCAATTATAACAAAAAAGAAAAATTTACTTTTTAAAAATGTTTAATGAGATGGATGACATTTTACTTGACTCGTGCTAAATGAATGAGGATAAACAATATCCTTTAAGTGTTTTAGATTTGCTCCCAACCTTGGTAAAATAAAAATCAATACTTTTTCCTTTTTCTGTGACTTTGGAAAGAAAATAGCACCTAGATCTCACTTTTACAATAGCTGAGGGTTCAGACCTCCATATTACAATCACTGATTAAATATAGTAATTTATATATTTAAATACGTGTCTCAGCATCTGAGATTCAGCTAAAGGAAATTGTTAGGTTGATGGATTATGCTTGGACAGTTATATAATTGGAACGTAGTTTGTATAAAAGTTAGACATTGGCATGATTCATAAAATGGAGTATATATTCCACAATATTGTTGTGGTACAGAAACTTCTATTAAATAAAGTCCAAAATGAGAAAATTAATAGATTGTGTTTGCTTTATCCATTCTTTTTGTCAGCTTAATGCTAGGCTTATTCAGCAGATTGCTAGTTTTGCCTTAACAGAAATATGAGCTGCCAGGCCATAGCTCCTGATAGGCCCCTCGGCCTCCTGGGAAAAGAGACCTGCCCAGTGGCAGATACAATGAGAATCTGTTCAGAAAACCATGAGGCTGGAGTGTAGGGGAGCAGACAATGGAAAGCAAAGATAGGAAACTGAAAGAGTGGTCATATCACATACAAAGCAGTAGGGCCTTGTACCTTACAGGGAAAAGGATGCTGTTGAAGCTGCCAACCACACCCCCCTGCTGCCTGCTTGAGGCTTTGGCTGCAGACGGAAATCAAAATCTCAGCACACATGTAACCCAGATGCGCAGGGCCCCTCAGGCATTCAGCTGGACAACACAATCCTCAGAAGGTTCATAAACGTGGTTAAACTACAGACAAAACAATATCCACATTCCTAGAGCTGCCTTGAATCCTAAACAGGGTTAGTCCTGGAAAAGTCTGAGTTAACTTTTTTATTCATACACAGAGCTATGCTAACAATAAGAAAAAAACAACTCTTATCGCTTGACATAGCTGAAGAAATCCTATAGGGTATTTGTAGCAACTGACAATTATTACTGTGTTATAGTTGATTTAGGTTTTGGTCCTTATACAAGTCTTCCAAGAATATCTTATTTAAATAAAAAATTATTCTGGCCCTGGCCAGTTTTGCTCAGCGGTTAGAGTGTGGGCCTGCGGTCCAGAGAGACCCGGGTTTGGTTCCCGCTAAGGGCACGTACCTCGGTTGCAGTTTGTCCCAGGCCCTGGTTGGGTTGTGCGGGAGGCAGTCACTCAATGTGTCCCTTTCACGTCGATGTTTCTCTCTCTCTCTCTCCCTCTCCCTCCCACTCTATCTGAACAAAAATATGGAAAAATGTCCTCGGGTGAGGATAAAAAAAAAATTATTCTGTTTTTGCTGTATGATAAAAACTGCTTAACATAAAATCCCACTTAACCAAAATATTATGCATGACCATATAACTAAAGCTATGAAACAGCTGAAATTAATTTCAACCCTCCATATTTTACAGACCAGTAATCCCCAGATCCCAGACCCTGTATGTCTGTGAACTGTTACTAAGAGAATTTTTTTTTTTTTATCCTCACCCAAGGACATTTTTTGATATTT